GTAAATGACAGACATATACCAGAAGCCATTGTGGATCTATTGGTGCAGGGTAAGTACATTTTACATACATCTGAAGTAAACTGAAAATCACAATTTTTATTTTTGAAAAATAAAATAAAAATTATTCACTAAATTAATAAAGATGAAATAATTATTTTACTATGACGATCAGTATTCGGGAATATACATTAATGATGTATTGTCTATTAATAAATTTCGCTTGATACAGAATAATTTTTGGACTAAGAATTTTCTTATACTACATCCTTTTTTATTCCAAATGAACATGCAAATCTTTATTATATTACCTATCTTTATGGTCACGAAAGTAAATATATTCCCTTTCAAGACTCTATTTTTTAATCCAGTAAAATTTATAAATATAGGGTAACAAGCAGCCACGGTTTTAAACTCTATTATCATAAACGGATTAATAATAATAAAGACCGCTTAGCAAAATATTATTTATAAATAGGTTAATAGAATTAATAATTATTTTTTAATACTGATTAACATAATTTGTTCTCCAAAAGGAACTATTGAAGATAGCAGAGATATCAGAAATATATTTTATTTAAAATTGATATTTTAATTAATTGATTAATTGTATCTCTATATAGTTAATAAAAATTAATTAATAGTTAATAACAAAATTAATGTATTCTTATGAATACTACTTAAGTACACAGTTTATAATACATATCTATATTGTACAGCATATATATTCTATTCTAACAAATCGAATTCTATTTTAACCTTCCAATTATGTAGACTAAAAGGGTGTAACTGAATAGGGATTGAAATGAGCTATCAATAATTATTTAACTACTTCCCAATTTCTAGTTCCTTTAAAGTCTATATAAGTGCAATAACATAGTACAGGCAAACTAGTAACCTTCTGCTTAAGCTAGAAATACCTAGCTGAAGGATCATTAAGAGAAATCGAAACTTTATTTCAAAGTAATTAGTTTATAATAGAACTTTTTTATTATTATTGTGTAATGATAAATTCAAGTCATTACTCTGATTAACAACAAAAGTATTGTTGTATAATTTACAACAGTTTTTTCCTTGCCTCCTTCTCAAACTTTTTCTAATTTTCGATTTCTTTGAATATACTAATCACATTCTTTAACTAACTACCAAAATCTCTTGATAGAATCTGAGAATATCCTTTTGTATTTACTACTTAGAATTTATAATATAACTAACTACAAATATGTTCAATCCACCCGTTTATATCCAGTTTTCAGTTTTCTTTTATATCTTAAGAAATGATGTACCTATGCTAATGAAACTTCTTCAAAAATACTATAAAAAAATGTTGATAATGATAACTATATAAGATTAGAACTTATACGAGTGCGGGTAATAAAAGTATTTTTATATTTTTTCTTATAAAATATAGGTAAAGTAAATATATTCCGTTTTATTATCGCTAACACCAATAAGCAACTGATTTAACCCACGATCCATTAACATTTTTGACCTACTTTTATATAGTCTTGGAACAATAACTCTTAAATTATTTCCATTCCACTGATTTCATTACTGTTGGTATTTTTATGTTTATATTACAAATTTTCAACTGTACTTACGTTTTCTCTTTTATTGTTAACACATTTCTACTTACAGATGTGCCTGATCCACCTGAACGACCTTTACTGATAAGTTTCACATCGCGTTCAGTAAATTTATCATGGGCGCATTCGCAGCATCCCAGAAATGCACCTGTGACGCATTTCATTATCGAAACACGGTAAGTAAAACGATAAAAACGCAAATGCAGTGCTCGTACGTTGCCAACATAAAATCCTGCAGAGAATAATCAAGACTTATAGAGGGAGGTTGGCAGTGATGTGCACTACAAACATTTTAAACAACTGCATAAAACTTGGTGCATTTATGTGTAATAATACCAAAGCCTTGCGGGACTAATACACTATAAAGTTCTTTGCACCATTTAGTGCGAATAAGAAGTCAGACATCTATGCATGACGGTGTAAGAATAAGTAATGATGCGTGATTTAATGCTGGAAAAGTTTCAGTATTAACATGATTTCAAAAACTGGAAAGAAGCATCAATAGGGATAATAAACCTTTTTAATTGTTGCTACCAGTGAATTATTTTCGATTCAAATAATAAAATAAAATAATTTTTTTTGTTGTTGTTATTTCTTTTGTTATTTCACAATAGTGGCGAGTCAATCATTTGTCTTTGTATGCATACAAAATAATCGCGTCATCTTGTCTCTTATAGTCCCGTTCACTTCAATTCACTGATGCATGCCAACATGATTTCAATAAAAATCATTTTATCATTGGCATTCGTTTTTATTAAGTTTCATGCATTTTTCCTTCCTCTTGCAACCAGTGGCATCCTCAATTTTTCTGCAATTTGGGTTATATGAGTGCCTCAAGTTGAAGGACATATTCAGGCGATTTCGCTGCGCTTTCCGCGTACACTGGAAACGTGTTGGTATGGTAATATATATGATATTTTCAATTTTATGATATTGTGAAATATATAATAATTCTACGAATTTTTAAACCGACTTGTGTACATGCTCAGGGCATTTTAATTTCACTGAGAAATAAAGCATATTTGAAATGCATATAATTTACTGCATATAATATATCGAAATTAAATAGCTGATTAATTATGGGCTCATGCCTTTTCATTTTATAAACTATTTGTAAATATTCATATGTCACCATTCAATCAATACTTCATTATTTCTCCACCTAAAAATATTACAAAAAAGCACAAACTTTCTAACTGAACTTACAAAACTTATATTCAATACAAACTTAGCAGTGACATATCTGCGAAAATGAGTTTGATTAATAAAATATCAACAAATTTTTCATGAATTCACTTAAGTTACACTTACATGGTTCAATTTTCTGGAACACCTTCATGACAACTTATCCATTTCCTTTAATGTCAGATAAAGTGACACGTGGTCGTCCAAAAAGTGTAGTAGCTACTTGACGTTCGGCTTACTTGCAACTCTTTAAGAAACTAGAAACTACAAGAAACATAGCGCTTCAAAATCGTGTAACTTATAGAATCCTAAAAAGGAACTTTCATTTGCTGTATGCATAATGCGTGGCATATTATGCAAATTCTCATGGTCGTGAGAAGACGTAATGGTGATTTGTTTGCCTTGCTTGCCCGCGTTGAAGATGGTAAATGACGGAAGGACACTACTTGCTTAATTTACATTTCTACACTCTTTATTTTGGTCCTGGTTTAGTTAGCTGTACTTTGTGTAGGGATGCATGTGTTGGCGCTGAAACAGCAACACAAATACAATGTAAATATATGCAACAAAACGAAAACAAAATTGCAGCGAACGCATAACAAACAAATATATAAAAATTTGAAGCATACTTTTGGGATATCAACAGAATGAAATTGCAAACTCTGCTGAATGCTGGAGCCAATATAAAGATGGTGATTCGAGATGGCGATGAGGACGACGATGACGATGACGACGTTGACGGCAATGATGATGATGAAAGTGCTGACAAAAAACTATTACATGAAAAGTAACAAATAAAAATGTTGAAAGAGGATACAACATATCCATCTCGACAGCTTAAACTCAATAAAATAGTGGAAATTGTTTCTGTTCGCTCCCTTTGCGCTTTTGGTGGCACAGCTGCTATAGTGTTGATTTGTCATAAAAATTATTGCTATTTTATACGTTTGCTAACTTATTGACACATATTCAACGTATCTCACAAGGGTAAAGAGTTAAAATGACACACTTACTCTTTATGTAATTCGTTCTATGAATATGTGTGTATACGTGTATGTTAGTTTCCTTAAATACAATGCTATAGATACAAATTTTTTCTACTTTTTCTACTTTCATTGTTAATGCTGCTGGGTTTCTGTGTATCTGGAATTGTGCTCCCAAATTAATGAAGCGTAAAATCTCGCAAGCTCCTGGGAACAGATAAAGTGACAGCACTGTCAAGTGTTTGCTAAAATTTACTTACAAATAATTTGCAGGAAGTTGCTTTTTTAAGCAAAAAAACTTAAACTTTTTAACCTAAAAATTTCACTTTGATTTAATTTTATAACAATTGTACGAACTCGTTATTTAATCAAAAAAAAAAAAAATTCTGCTTCTAAAAGATCATAAAAACAACAATGCTTCTGGCAAATGTATATAAGGATTTCCGCTTTTTATATCAACTTATTATGCTAGAAGTCCTAAATAAAAAGGTATAAGTGAAAGCTTGAAATGCCTTGAAATTTAAGCCCTAACTTATATAGTATATGCTAGGATTGTTATCAAAGAATTCTAGATTAAAACTATTCTCTAACAATTCATCTCTTCATACTTCATACTCATTACTCGTCGGCCACTCTACAGTTAGACATAATCTTATTCCCCTAATAATATATTAGAAGTTACAAGAAATGAAACACCGAGGAAGAAAATTTAAAAGTTGTAGTTTTAGCAGATACCAATGACTTTTTGTATAATGTTTTTTCTGAGATATTATGATTTCAATAGCTAGGGATTGATTTTTTTTTCAATCAATATGAGCCAAAAGTTTTTAATCCAAGAAATTACCTCCTGAATTTTTAATATTCAGTAAGCCAATTTCAAATAAATAGTATGCATTTATTCATATGTATGTAAACATATAGTATATATGTTTAGTATTATGTATATGTTTGTATATATATAGTATTATGCATATGTTTGTAACAAATCAATCAATTCCATTTTATCAGCTTATAATTGAACCTGATCGGATTTTTATATCATCTGAAAATACAAATTTAATCGGCTTAAAATTTATACTCATTTTTTATACTGAATATAAAAAATGGAATTTTTTGAATTTCAATAATATATACCATATATCTCATGCATATATATTAAAGCACATTATATCTATGTACTATACATTTAGATATTTTTAATATTAATTGCATTCACATATGAGAGGAATAAAAATATTTGGTCGACAATACCATTTATATATCAATGTTCGCTAAGTGGCTTTGAACTAATAGGAATTAATAACTAAAAATAAAAAAAAAATAATTAAAATTAATTTAATTAGCATTATTGAGCACTAAAATTAGTTTAATGAACATACATAGTAGTTATATCTGAAATTTATTTTGAGCTTAAATAACACTATTGGTTTAGTGTAATTTTTAAAAAATATAAAGAAGTGATTATATAGTACTTTAGGAATAGCACTATTGGTTTAGTATAATTTTTAAAAAATTATTAAGGAATGATAATGCAGTGCTTAATGAATAACTCACATACACTTGAATATTCAATCTTACATCTCATTCGACAGAAATCCTTCCATGTGTTCTTTAACCACAAAAAACTTCTTGCAAGTGCACAAAAAGTAAGAACTTCCCATCTCATACTGTGATATCACTGTGAGACTCTGTTGGAATATGGAACTCTACTTTGAGGTTTAGTATATTTTATTTTGACTTATTTACAATGCTCAAAGGATACTCTTTTTCATAAGCAAAAATTGTGTATAAATAATATAATTAAACTCATTATGCAGTCAGCAGAACGTAATTAAATAAAAATGTGGTTACGTTGAAAAATGCATTCTTTGTGCCTCTTTCTCTCTATTACATACTTTTTCTACTCCATTTTCATAAAACAAAAATCTTCTGGTCTACCTACTTTTGCACTCTCGCTGTGCTGCATACCAGAACAGTGGCTGTGACTGCGATTGTGACTATGATTGTGACTGTGACTGTGACTGTGATTGTGATACTAGACCGCGGCATAGGGGTCCATTTTCTTTCTGAGCTATTTGCCGCAAAACTTCATTTTAATGCAAAACGAATCAGTTATTTATGAAAAAATGGTCAACAGCATAAAAATATCGCAGGCGTGGTAATAACACAAAAACAGCGTTTAAAGCACAACACGAAACCCACAATTGGTGCTGCTTGTACGAGTATGTCTGGCTTTTGTGGGGACGTGTGGGTTTGCTTTGATTTATTTAACCGTGGGCGGATGGTTCAAAACGTATTCTTTTTTTTTTGTTTTGGTTAAGCATCATGGGTTAATATAGGTATTTATATACTCACGTATGGAATATTTTCTGTGCTTTTTAATATTAAAATATTTATATTAATTTTATTGAAATGAAATCCTTCATGTGCACATATTCTTCTGCATGTACGAATAGCAATTTTTCAGTATTTCGGCTTCAATGGGTTGAATTGTGCTAATTTCTTTTATTTCGGGCCTCATGATGAACTTAATTAAAAATTTCGCATTGCTGTTGGCAACCTTGTTTTGTAAGTTACACTTTTGCCTTCTGCCTTTTGCCTTGTGCCTTGTGTCTTGTGCCTTTTTATGTTTCGCCCTGAAACGCTGCTAAATTATATGAAAATTTATTCATTAAAGCAGCAATTTAGGCATGGGAACTCTTTTATGTGTAGCTTATGTGTAGCACTTATGTACGATTTTGGCTTGTAAGGAGCGTAGAAGATGAAATTACAATTTTTAATTTTATGCTATTTTTAATTGACTGCACAATGTCTAAACATTTGAGTTTATTTTAGTAAAATTATTATTTCTTCACCTCACAAAAAGGGCTTCACGTGCTGCTTCATTTGGGGCAATCATTTAAATTTAACCAAATTTTTTGAAAATTGTTGAATGTTGCACGTTCGTATTTGTTCTCGCCCTTGGCTTTGTGTGGATTTCTTTCTATGTACAAATAAAATAATTGCTAGGCAAACAATATTTGTATTTTTCTCTGATTCGACTTTCGTTTGCATAAAAGCATAATTAATTTGCACTTAAATAAATACACGAAAGTGTCGTTTTACATTCAAATGTTTTTCTATAATGAGGCATCTACTTCCTTCCGATCCGTACATGTGCTTTATTGTGCAAATAAATATTATTTCATGATTTTGAGTTTGTTTGCCTGCTCAGATCAACAAAAGAAGTTCTAAAGACAAATAAGTGCTAATTAAAAATGTAAACGTATCCTGTTAATTTGAGTGTGTAAATATAAATTGCTTTCATCACAAATCAAAGTATTTTCATGTGTCAAAATTGAACAATTGTTTATACTTTTACTGCTTTTACTGTCTCTAATAATAAAATACTTGATTGAATTATTATTAGATGAGGTAACCTTATCTATTGCCATGTGATGATAGCTTTTATACATTATAATTAACTTCTCGTGTGAACGAGTTGCGACATACCTTAAGTGCTCTTGTTTAATTACAAAGTTTAATTGATTTAATCACTAAATAAATATTGTAGATCTTTATTCAAGCATGCTTAAATATAGTTAAATACACTATTGGTACACTGTTTAAGCCTTGAAAAACGTATGCATAATGGTTACATAAAATAACGGATAAATATCAATCGCTCAATATGTATTTTGTCGCCTTAGAAACTATTATATTTGTATATCAACACTTAATAGAATCCACCGTATATTAGTCGTAATCTTATTAAGCGATACTATCAACTAATCCTGGAAATTTTGATTTGTGACCATAACTGCCTCAATACTTCTTCCTTGAAGTATTACTAGTTTTAGTAGCAGAAGCAAATCACATGCCGTATGGCAACTAACTGCTTCGGTCATAGTTTTCATTGAGTTTTTTGACAAACAGTTTTACAGAATAGGTACTTAAGAAATTCTAGATACTTCGTTCGTACTAAATATTATCTACAAAAATGCATTTTACTCTTCTTTACCCCAAACTAAATACGTTGGAAGAAAACTTCTTCGTCTCTAAGTCTCACGGTACATGTCAACTATGTAATATGATCCTTAAACGCTAATATTCTTTTAGTGTTATCTAAGCCATTGGTGCAAAATGAGTTACTCAATGTATTCTAGAATATATTCTATGGAATATTATGAAGAAATAAATTTCACCTTCAATTTCACGTCAAAATTTAATAGCATTCCAAGTATATATATATATCTATATTTTTAAAATGAAAAATGGAAAAATGTAATATTTACTTCTTAGCAATAGAAAATACTGTTAACTAGAGTTTCTTTGAAAATTATGTGAAACTTTTGTTTTAACAAAATCACCATTTATTTGCTGAATATACCCACGATCATACAGCCTTGTTGTAAGTTTGTAGAAATAATCATAGCTGGAACCATGACAGAAGGATAAATCTCTAAATCTCTTCCCATTGCAGTTCTGGGAACAATAAAGAAAGTCTATTATATATTCTTCAGCGTATTTGTTTCATCAACTAAATATGAAGGAGCTTATTTTTTAGATGATCTTAGCCAACTTCAAGACCTCCTTTTGTAGAGTTTTTTTTTGAATTGCCAAAGCTAAGTGGTAGTTCTTAAAGCTTTGAGTCTTATCATAAAGTGACACAAAGAACCAATGAGCCAAACATAGTTTATACTTGCACTAATAATATAAGTTAATCATTGCATTGGTCATACTTTTGTAACTGTTCGCTAAATTCCTTCCACAGCATACGTATTCCAGCTCCTAGCGGCGACTAACTTTTCATGATTCTCTAGATGTTTCAGGAAAATGAATTTGGTTTAAAAAGAGATTTACATAACGACACCTAACAAGTCTTGTTATAAGAGAAGATTATATAAATGTTTGAAAAGTGTTGAGATATTTGTAGTAAAGATGAAAGGGAAGAATAGTACAAAATCATAATAATAATTAATATAGTTTTTAGTCCCACATAAGCACAAACTCTTTAGCTCTCTTATGTTAATCAAAAGCATTTAATTATTATTCCAGCTTTCATTGCTAATTTATGAAATATTTTGATTAAATTATTTCGTATTTATTTTTAACTAATACCTTTAAGTAAATTTATTCTAATTTTTTTATTATTTATTTCCTAATATCATTACTAATTACACTAAAAATTTTACTTACGAAAACTACGACGTTTCATTGGAAATTTAATTAATAACGAAACTAATTAGAATGCATCTAATAATTAATAATAATGGATTAAGATTAAACAAGCTTAAAATAAAGTAACTTATTAATATATTAGTGTGTATTAATCTCTCAAAGCAATTTTCTAAATGAGCCCAATTATTTTTTATTAGAATTTTAATTAACTACGAGTGAAAATCATTTAATAAAAGATCAAAGCATTTTTCGTTATTGTAGTGACTTAGTTTAGAGGCAGTTTCGGGATATTAATTTACTTTTTAATATCGCGATTTAGAAATGCTTATATTAAAGCACCCCAATAAATTCAATTAAGAGTTTCCTTATTCAATTCTTTGTGTTCTGAAATGGAAAATAGTAACAAAAATGGAAGATAAAATATGACTCTTCACGAGAAATACATTATATATATCAGGGATGATTTTAGTAATTTAGTCATTTGTAAGAGTTTCATTTTCTTTAATCTATTCATCCTATACCTATGTTATATGTAATAACTTTTTTTTCAAGTGAACAATAATTTTTCGGCTTTTTCAATTCATTTCTTCCAAATTGCGAATGAATCTATAACCAATACTTTCTTGTCATTTAGATGTATTACGTTAGTTTCACTTATGCTATAAATCAACAAGAATTTTTTATTTGATAAGGTATTTATTCCATAGAATAATTATTGGACTAATAGCATTGTAGAATATGGTCACACTTAATAAAAATGTTCTAATTTTTTCATTTATAAAAATATTAAAATAATTTCAATTCCCTTCTCCATTTGCAGAGTGGGTGAGAATGGACCTTGGGACCAAGTATCGCAAATATTTACAAAAACAAATACAACATCATATCAAGTAACTGGACTTATACCCTTCACAGTCTACAGTTTTCGTTTGCTTGCAGTAAACAAATTAGGCATAAGTCCGCCGTCCAAGGAGTCCTACTACATTGTCACATTGAGAGAAGGTAAGTAAAACTACAAAACTCAATCCATTATTGCTTTTATTTCTTCAGTTTTAGTAGCAATACTGAAATGATTAAAATTTAAAGCCTTTTGACTTGTCAGGCTTATCATAAAACTACAAATTAAGCCGAAGTCGTTTAATTATTTTATTTTGTTCTTCCGTATCAGCAAAAGTGATTCATTAAAGTTTCAATGAATTTATTTTTATGCTCCTTTGCACCATTGTAGCAGCCATATTAACTGCTGCCTTTCGACTTTGCTCAATTACACCATAAACCAGGCAAACTACATTTAATTATTTTACACTCCGGCAATATCCTTTACATTCAACCAATATAGCACTCATTGTGTGCGCGGGACACATCAATAACACCTTCGAATCATGATAAAGCAACTGTAAACATGACATCAAAACAAACCCGACGTACTTAAAATTACAGCCTCATTTTATAGCGACACACGAGTGGAGCCGCATGCAGGGAATTGCTGGAAGGGTGCATCCACCAATGGCTTTATTAACGAATGACTGTAGCTTTTCACACCAAAAAGAAATACCAGCAAAGCACAGTCGGTTGATTGGTAGGTCCGTAACATTTTCAATTTTCAGCGCTCGCAAACCAAGTTTGCAGACTAAACGCGTTAATTTTCGACAATAATTACACAAAGTTATTGAGAATTTATAGCAACATTATGCTATGCGGTAGCACTTTCCATTGGTACTCATACGCAGTGTATGCCGCTTTATTGCAATTGTGTGTGCACAACAGACGGATACATACGGATATACATCCGTATGTTGTGTGTTTTTAACGAAATTTTAAATTTTGAATTTAAATTTTAAAATTTTGATAAATTCAATGACTGAACACTTAGCACAACTTTTGTTGAAATTTATTTTTGAATTTTAACGCGCATGCAACATGTTACAATGGCAATTGATGCGATACTTCAAGCCGAAGTACTCGCACTTTAGCTGTCAAAACTGTTACATACTTAAATGCAGTTGGGAAAGTATGTTTCAGGAGCCAGAATAAAGGCGAAAAATTCCCGAGAAGTATTTAAATATTTATGCAATGTATTCCTACGTGTATCTGCGGGTGTATTGCGGTTTTATGAGCGCTCATATAAAATTGATATAAACGGCGAATTGTCAAATATTGACACAAGTGCGTTCGGTAACAACTGCGCAACATGTAAAACACAGCAAATGACGCATGAACGCAGAGAGGTCCTTAAGCCCGACAACATGTGTGACTCAGTACTCATTCTCGTACAAATGCAAACAGTTTTTCCGCTCATAGATATAACGCTGAATAGCCCAAAAATGAAAATGAAAATGGAAATAGAAATGATGTGCGGCTATAAACAATCTGAAACTGTGTTAGCAAATAAAATTTATGGTGCTATTGAGTTTTTTCAAAACACAAAATAAAAGGGTAAAAAAACGTGTTACAAAATAGAATCAATTGAAAGCCCTTAGAAATGACTTCCGCTTTCAAGGATATTTGAATATATATGCTGTATGTCAATAACTCATTTTGAAATCCATTCAACTCTTACAATAAAATTATAATAAGCAAAATTTTGATGCCACGATATTTTTTAAATTTTTAAACAAAAATACAGACTTCTCTTCAAAACTTACAGAAGGACTATTTCGAGTTTTAAAGAATTTTGATAAAGAATTTGAATTTGCGGTATATGTTTTATTTCCTATAGATACATTCATTTATTTAGATACACAGCTATCTATTTTATATAAATAAATTAAACAATTAACATAGCATTCAATCAGAAATTTAAATTCATTTGCCGCGTCTCCACAACCATGCGTTGCAATCAATCAACAATTAACCAATTTTATGAGGCCTTCGGTTAGTTAGGAATGCAAACAGCTGCTTTGTCCTGAAGTTCTTAGTGCGGTAAAGTTGCGGTACTTTTATTAAACTAGTAATACCGCATGCCTGCGGTGTTCGCATTAAATACAACATAAAGGTGCATAATATTTTCGCTCAAGGATATGGAAGCATATTTGCGTTAATGCACATTTAACAGGACTAATTGGAATACTTAAACTTTACACGTGCATATGCGTTATTGTTGAAATTTATGTTAAAGTTGCTTTCCATATCGAAGTACATACTGGTTATTCAGACAAATAATTGGTTTTTTGCTCAAAGCATTATTTTTACAATAATACTGTCCTGCATATAGAAGCTTGTTATTAACGAATATTGTAATTTAAGTCAGTTTTGAATTTACGAATACATATATAGTAGGCAATCCTAATATTAAAGAATAGGTCTTGTATATAGATCTCTTGCTGGTAACTTATGAAAATTTCATAATATTCGGAAGCATAAAACTTTAATTTTTGCATTTGAAATGACAGTGAAAGATTTACAAAAATAAACTTTCTGAATGCCACCTCAGCAGCCAGGTCGAGGGTTACATGGCCAATTTATTCCAAATGTAGAATCTCTGACGTATTATACAGAAGCAAATCAGAGGTATCTAAGTTAATACCTGTCTTTACAGGGCACTGGACCTGTTCTAAGTCAATACCTGCAATGCATGTCTGCCAGCTCTCGAAAAAAAGACACCAAAACACCTGATGTGTTAATGTCCAGGTTTGTTCAGAACTAGTCTGAAGTTTCTGGGGGCCACCTTCTTCAACACACTCGGCGATATCTCTAGCATTGGCTTTATAAATGCTTCTGGCTGGTTCTAGCTTGACTTTTTCTCTATTACCCGCTATTATGAGGTTTTGTGGATTCAAAACGGCTTTTTAGCTAATTTAGGAGGACTCGTTTCTCCCTCCACTAAAACTAACTAAACTTTGTAAAAGTAATTGATAAGACAACTTTATAGAATAATTGTTTATAATGTGACAGAGTGAACGAGTATTATATGGGATTACAAAACTTTTCAGACAACATAAATGATGTCATTTACTAACTGAAATGTGTAATTATCATAGATTCCACCAAAGCTATGCTTGAAATCGTCGGAGATCAGTCCAAATCATCATTGGAACTCATTGACTTCAAGTTAAAAATCTCCAAAACCTCAATTTATCGATTTTACATAAAGTGTACACATGATTTGTTTTGGAAATAACTATTAAAATAATCACTCATTGAACAATACTTATAACTAACTTAATAGTCAAAAAACGCATCAGAACTACTAACTACTTTTCATATTAGCCTGATTCAGTGGTTTTAGACTTAAACCGTTTCGAAAATAATGCACTTACTGATGAAAGAAAACCTTTTTCTGATTTATAAACCTTCTGAAATTGAAAATCACTTTAAACTACTTTAACAAGAACTCCGCTTCTACTTGTCCAAATGTATTCTATCTTATCAAGAGTAATAGTTACCAATAGATAATCCTCTTACAAGAACTTGTTTTAAGAAACTTCTCTTTACGTTGGAGTGCGCCTTATATACATAATCATATAACAAAAACCTCTATCCATTTAGTATATATTTAGTATACATTTAGTATATATTAGTACATATGATTTTCATGGAAAAAATAGTTGTAGTTTTATTCAGATTTTAAAGTAGTGCTTAAAAATATCATTCAATGTTTGTTTTACCCATAATTTTCGTGATTTAGCAATTTTTATAAACTTTATTTAATTTATTCACAATTATAGATCCACTTCAAATAATAAAGTTAATATTAATACCATCACAAATATAATTTTAAGTCACATTTTACAAAAAATGTTTAGTCAATTTAAAAAAGGTTTTAAATTTCCAACTTCTACTCTATTTTACAAGAGCCTGAATAAGTTTAGTATCTTCCAAACTATTTTTGATTTATTTACGTACTCATTGAAGCACTGCTCGAGATGACAGCTAAAAAAATTGCTTTGACACCTTTTTTAAAAATATTTCTACAAGCCACGCAGTTTACGCATCATTAAGCAATATTCTCAAAAAAAAGCAACGAAAAATTCTGGAAAAAGATTCCAGAAGTAAAGCCAAGAAAGTTCAAATCATGTCAGAGAAGAATGATTGGCAAGCTCAAGCCTAAGCATGCAGTAGGAAAAAGTTCCAAAGCAGCAAGTTAAAGAAATTGTAAAAAATATCTTATTCGAGGAAGGAAAGGGACGAAGTACGGAAACACAAACTTAAGGCACAAAGCAACTTGACAATACCGCAGACACTGTCACACTATTAAAATTTGAGACTTAAACACTGCACAAATCACTTCATACATTTTTAACTTCAAACTGAAAACGGAGAAAAATATAACTTCTACTCTAACTTATATTTGCTATGCATTAAAACAAAAACAAAACAAAAAAGTTTAAAAAATATTAAAAAATTAATGCTTTTATTTTTTCTACTCTAATTACTTGCAGCTCCAACGGGAAAGCCAATACCGACAACCGCCCACAACACATCGTCCACTTCGGTTTATATTTCATGGAAACCCCCACCAGCTGACACTATACTTGGCGAATTTCTTGGCTACCGCATCACGTACAGACCACGAGATCGGGATCCAAATGATACCAAAGAGATTTACATACGCGATAACACCGTTGAGGTAAGTACATAAAATTTTTAGGTCCTCACACACACACACACGCACACATGTACAGACAACAAAAAAGTCAGCCACAATTGTAAGCCATTTAGAGCTTAAATCCTGTAATAGCGTATCCGGAATTCACTGCCACCACAACAACAACAACAACAATCATTTTTAACAAAAGCTCCAAAAGATTCATAATTGATTCTTATAATTTCTGACAATGGGAAAGCCAACATTTTTGTGTTACATTCGTTAATGTCACTTGCCCTTCGCCTAGCGTTACTCCTATGGCATTTGCAATAGACTGTGGTACTGCACTGGTATAGCATCGCTTGGCGGTGCTCAGTTTTCCGTGTTTGGTACTAGATGCGCGGGGCGCGGAGCTTCATCGTCAACATTTACCTTTCAGTGTCATTTATTTTCATTTGCTGTCATGTTACGTGAATATCATTTTCGGTTTTAATTTTAACAAAACCAAAAAGACAAATGGAAAACAAAATTTAAATAAAATCCAAAATCAAATAAGAGATAAAAACTTAACGCAGGAACTGTCAAGGGTGCGCTGCGCTGAACTGCGCTGAACTGCCATTGCCGTATCGCCATTGCTACAAACACTTAAGTGCCAACTTCACTGACTTCAGCCCCAAACTCCAAACTCCGAACACCAAATCCAATTCCAACTACAATTCGGAAATGTTTTGGCGCATTTCAAAGTATCTCATGCTTAGAGAGCAATTCGTGTTCTTACCTGTGGTACTATGACACTGACTTCTCGGTGTGTGACACAATTTTCGCTATTTCAATTGTTGTTGTTACTGTTGTTATTGTTGTTGTTGTCACAATACTCAAAAGCTTATGTCAAACATTAAAAACTAATTTACGCATCTTAGTAGGAAAGTACAAAGTTTTGTTGGAAATTCCGATTGAATTACATGAATCGTTACTAAGCATTTCGGGTTCGTTTAAGTGATTCCGTACTAAGGATTCACAGAAATGATTTGTTTTTAATTTGTTGCATGAATTCCCTAAGACATTGAATACCAAATTAAGCATCGCCATAGGAATTCGTAAGCAATCAGAATTTCACTGTATTTATTTAAAGTTTTTACAATAAAAAAAATATATTTGCATATTTAAGCAAATTATTAAACCAGGACTACTCTATGGCAGTATAGCGTTTTGCCAAGCGCCAAGCTCAACTTTAAAAATTCTTCAAAGAGGGCAAAAGAAAACTGGTTAACGCCCCATAGTATGTAAGAGGAACCGATATCCACAGAGATCTGAGAGTGGATTCAGTTGAAAAATACATTAAAGATCGTGCTTTGAAACTGTTCAATACAATTGACAGTCACAATAATCCAACACTCAGTATCCTAAAAATACAGCGAAATTTGATAAACACAGGCAGATACAAAGACATCAGATCCATCATGTTATAAAGCCCCGCATTTAGTGTGACTTAAAACTGTCCACAGATAAAATAGAGTAAAGGTGCTGATTCACCAACTCAGACATCTGAATATCAATCTAATATTTTTCACTGACTAAATGTCGAAGAAAATGTATATTACGTTAAGTCAGTTTTTAGGCTATTCCTGTATTTTTGCTGAGATAAAAATAAAAATTAAATTTTAATATTTCTAATTGCGTTATAAATATACGCTACTAAGTTTGCAGTATATGATACTCTTATTGACTTATACAGATAAAATTATTTTTATGGTATGTTATTTCTATTTATTTATTTTTTTTTGTTACATAAATCCTTATCTACTTTCTTATCAAAATTCAACACTAGACATGTGACATGCGACACATGTCTGATGAAAGTTGTGCCATATTACAATATGATTCGTTTATCAATCGCTGAACGCGCTGAAATCATGAAAATTTAATTCAAACTGATGATAGTAGTCTAAGCAGATTTCGCATCGAATATCTTTTCTAATGGGACTGATATACAATTCGTATTGTCTTTACTGATAACCACATTTTTCGGATTGTATATATGCTAACACAAAAATTGTCTCATCTGGGATGTTTACATCTAAAATTCATTAGTAATTGTCTTATGACTTTTGCAATCACAAAAAACCCACTATGGTATGGCATTTAATATGGTAGAGGTACAATACGCCGTTACTTATTTGACAATGTCAAAAATTTGTCATAAACCATTACTCTTGATTGCTATGATCGATACAGTAACATGATTTGAAATTGAAGATATAATTATAGAAGATAAGTAGTATAAAGAAGACGATTTCATTAGTCTCAAAACGCCTTGTTTTGGATTTATTGTGTAAGAATTGTTCAGAACTTGTTATTTCATGATTTGTAAGATAAGTAAACCAGAAAAACCATGCAATTTGTAAGCGCTTGCTTTTTTTATGGGGTGGCTGGGTGGATGGCGTTTATGCGGATAGTCTTCAAACTGCAGAGGCTTTGAAAATGAATATGTGTCAAGCTAAGGTCGAGCTATTTCCAGTTGTACGTTAACTAGTTATCAAAAAGTATACAGAATTATGAAATACTTTGTGAAATACATCATCATTGAAATGTGTTATTAGCAAACCCCGAACAATATATTGGAAAAATATTTGTTTGAAAACTTGATCACTACATAAAACTTTTAGCTCTACAGATTCGAAACAAACCTTAGTTATTTTCGTTTTTTTAAGCCTTGTTCGTTAATCTTAACTTTTCTCGCCAGCCTACTAATTCATTATAGAAGAGACAACCCTGTACTCGTATCAATAATAAAATATGTATTTTTATTTGATTAATCTCTCAACGGGGAGTCATGTGTATACTATACTGACTATAGATTGAAATTAAAACTTTGTTATAATAGTTTTTTGAAGTTTTTTGTTCGCCAGCTACTAATTCGCTATAGAAGAGACAGCCCTGTACTCGTATCAATAATAACATAATTATATATATATCTGATTAATCTCCCAACAGGAAGTCATGTATATACTATACTAACTATAGATTACAATTAGAACTTTGTTATATTAGTTTTTTAGTTTTTTTTTCGCCAACTTACTAATTCACTATAGAAGAAACAGCCTTGTACTTGTAAATTAACAAAATATGAATATATGTATTTTTATCTGATTAAACTCTCAACAGGGATTCATGTGTATTTCTTACTCATATGCATATCTTTAAAAATTATAAAAGCGGAAACAAAACAACAATCTACAATCTATTGAAAACAATTTCTTTACAAATTATTAGGAGTAAACAATTTGTGTTATTTATTATATCAAATATTTAATTCGATAAGAATGAAAGTAAATTATGCACTTAAATTTATTTATTCCATTTAGTGCTTAACTTTTTTATTATATAAAATTATATTCAGTAACTATCAGCGATAATGCTCACGTACGGATTTATACGCTCCCAAATGCATATTTTTCCTTATCTTATATGTTTTTATTTTTTCTTTAATTTTATTTTATTTTTTTTGATTTTTTTCAGTGTTTTTTTTTTGACTATATAACATTTTGCTGAACATTTTGTGATTGTTAGTATGTGTATCTGTGCATTTTTGCATAACGCTTTGATGTTGAAATATTATACTACGAGCGAGAACGTGCAACTTAAGTTCCATTTTCGAGCTGGAAAAAATTACGTACGTTGTAAAGTTTTTTACGATTTTTTTATATGCACACAAACTTAGATACTCCGCACTAATTCATAGTGGGAAAATAAAGGGAAATAAAAGTATTTACGTACTTTGCTATAAAATGTTGCTAAAATACCGACTGAAACCTGATGTTGATAATGCAACTGCAACAAGATAATATTTTTCTTTTATGTGTCACAAATAAAGCTGAAGTTGAGTACAAATGCGAGTATATGCTGCGCTGCTGCTGTACGTCGTAGGGTGTGCGGTGGGGTATGCGGTACGGTATGCGGTAGGATTGAATAAAAAATTTGGATTTATTTGTTAAAATATACAACGAAATTTCTACCTAATCTGAACATGCAGCGAAGGATTAAAGCACAAAAGAAAAGTTTAAAGTTTGTTCATAAATTGCGGTATTATGAATATATAACACAATATCCTCACTTTATGGTGCATCGTATATTATGTTGGGTAAACCGAGTACATATGCATATATTTCATATTATGAATTTTAATAGATATTCACTATTTTACATTATCATCCAAAAGTTTCGATTATGAAAACACAATTAAAATTTTTTTCTCTTAAAAATTTACTAAATATTTAAATAATGGATATTATTTGTATGCCAACATAAAAATCTTTTAATTTTTAATACAAAAGTGTAGAGAATACAAGAACTTAACATTTGCTTGCAGTCGCAGTGCATTTTAGCTTCTAATAATGGCTAAAGTATGACGATATGAAAAGATACTCATAAATCCAGTAAAACATTTTAATGTTTTTTTTAAACTGAAGTCCTACAACCAATTTTAGAACCTTATGTCAATTACAAATCTGAAGGATATAATATATCTTTATGTACCTATCCAGAAAGCGTTTTTCGAATATAGGTTCCCAATTCTTAAAATCCACTACATATGTACTAACGCTATTGCTTTCTTTTAAGTGGTTTTCCTGGTTACTACCGAAATTGTGACTCAGTAGAGCAACAGAAATATGTTGCCTCTTCTACTCTGCCATTACCTAGAATTCTTCCGACAAATGTTTTCACTTTCTTTAATGTGTAACCAACATACGCAAACAATACGTTAAAGACATTGCTTGTTTATTGTGGTTTTCCGGTCAAAAATATTATTATCTCTACCCGAAATTTCTTTAAACATGATATCAAATTTTTAGTGGTATCACAGCGGGTCAATATCTTTGGGTTTAAATCAGACTTATGGCAGTATATCTATGCCATTTCTTCCAAATAATTAGATTTATTTCTCATTTTAGACAACGATTATAATCTAATCCTTGTCACTGCTATAAAAGGAGTTAAGAAGCTCCATAATAATATCGTAATTACATTCATTTTTAAATACATATACAATACATTTGGACTAATATATAAATTTAAAGTAATAAAAATAAAAACTTTTCCCAAATTAAAAGTTAAAAATAAATATCTCTGTATAAAATTGGCCATGACTCATGACCCTATCATCCAGTGTTATCAATACTACATATTACAAGATGATTTTAATTAAATAAAATAAATTCAATAGTAATAAAACTTTAAAAGAATTTTTCATAGTATTTTCAAAATATTGAAATAATATTTTTTTTTTCATTAAAGTATCTTTATTATCTTCAAAAGAACGAATATTGCAACCGAATACATACAATTGAGTCAGTGGCAACGAAACTTGAATGCACCAAATTCGTTTTAAAATCCCGACATGAATTTCATTTCATTCTCCACACTGTGGAATGATTTAATATATGCACGTCTGTAAACCAGACCCAGTAAACCTCAATAAATGACCGCTCGCGTACATTTGTACATTTGTGTGCGGTTTACTTCTGAGGTTTTCCGCGTTTGTGAACCTTTGATAAATTTAATTTTTCCCAGTACAACATAAATCTCGTCGAATGCACAAGGGCAAGTCGAATGACTCAGATAACGATTATTCCTTGTAAACTCGTATAATCATCATCACATATAATAATCGTAACAGTGATGTATAAGTGCAATTTTGCATAAATGAGATATGCAATACTAATGAGCATTTCACTCCGGAAAGTAAAGATACTTATTTGAAATTAAAGTGAAGTTATAGATCAACTAACATAAACACATTTTTATAAATAGTTGTTAAGTGTACCAAATATAATGGCAATGGTTGTTAGATTTTGAATTACAATTTAGAAACTAAAATTGAACTGAAACTATTCCAATAAATACATTAAATATATTTTAAGTAATTCTTCTCTTATAATCTCACTTACTTTATACTATGATTATAATTACACTTATAAAAGCTCTTTAGCATATTTTTAGAAGGATCTAATCCTAAAAGTGTAAAAACTGAGTTGCTATATGTTAAGTTGAATTGAATATATTATTTTAATATAATGATTTCACTAAGACCAGTTGGCCCATATGTGGATTTGGAAAATGTGATGAAATCTAACATGCCTTTCAAGGCAACGTCTTGCAACTAATGAACCTTTCCAGAAATTTAGTGTATGTTTAGTCCATTGAATTTGCTATTTATCACTGTTTTCAATTAAACACTTATCTTAAGTACCATATATGTATGTTATAAAGTATATGTATATATAAATTAAACTTTCCACAAATGTTAAACGAAAATTACATTAGAGAAGTATAAAGGCATTAATCCAAAAATGTATACTAAAATCATTTTACAAAATGATGAAATGCAGAAAATATTATTTTTGAAAATTGAATAACTTCAGGAGTTCAATTGATTTGCCTGCACAAATACTTCAACACTTGATTTGCTGCAAAACTTTTTTTGACTTTATTTGCTCCACAAATAATTTAAGTTCGTTTTCAAATTCAAATTGCAGTTTATTTCACTTTGCAGTTACACAAGTTACACAAATATTAAATTTTCGAAAATGTCCAACAAAGAAGAGGAGAAGAAGATTTGCCCTGATTTTCCTTGACTTAACTTAGATTATTATACCAATTCATTTCTATAGTCCAAAGAGATTATTATATAAACTAAGTGCTTTTTAGTCATTTAACTTAAATAAAATAAGATTAATTAAAAATCTTCGTTCCTAACTTCTTACCATAATACGAGAACTGTGTTTAGTTCAACTTAAACCCTTTGGTTTACTAGATGAAGTTAAGGAGATCCCGAAAGTGTATTTTCGCTATCTCTGACAATCAAATGATGAAACAATCTCCTAGACATTGAATTTTCACAATGAAATTGTTCATCAAAACATACGACGGTAGCGTAGGACATCAGTCTACGAACTGTCATATATCGCAGTGAGCTTAAGTAAAACATACCGTAGAGAAATGGACGAAAGCAGTATACTCACATGGAATATATTTTCAAATTTGTTATATTACTAAGATTTCATACTCATTGCAAATAAAACTTATATTGTACATTATAATTCTATGCCCATTTGAAATTGCTATCGCTGAATCCCCTCCTGTACAATATATAACTTATATATATTTTTATACAATATAAAACTTTTATTTACATATGAAATTTGTATTTTGCAGAGTCATGAAATTCACAATTTGGAAACTTATACACAGTACAAAGTTACTGTACAGGTTTTCAATCCTGAGGGGTTGGGACCTGAAACAACAATTCTAGTCATGACTGATGAAGGAGGTAAGTTATGTTAAGCAATTTAAATATATTTTCCTAACACATAAAGCTAAACCCTGACAAATTGATGCTCATGAGACAAAAATAATATTAACCTTTCATTACTAACTTACGCATTTCTTCTAATGAAGTTGACATTGAACCTTAAGTCAGAGCCCAAAAAGAAATCGTAATAACATATTTGCGGAAAAAAATATTAGAAAATAAGAAACTAAAAATATGTAAAACTAATCCATTACCATTCAAAATGCCTCAAAGACTTTTTACAATCTATTATCCTTACATCAAAATAAACAAAAACAACAACTCTAAAGTTTTTGTATATTTCAATATATTATATTTAGACATTTCTCTTTTCTTTATGCATATATAATACAAATATATGTATATATATATTATATATATATATATATATATATATATATATATATCCCTTACAAGACAAAATATTCGTACCCCATTTTTTGGTATCGTCGTCTTGAATTCATTACAAAAGAAATCAAATGAAACCTTAAAAAAGCCTGAAAGTAAGACAAGCAGACGCACAAACGGACATACAGACACACGGACTGACAGACAGACAAGCAAAGTTAAATGTCAAAATGTTAAAGCGCAAAGGATACAATCAACGAGTTTCACGTGACATGCACGTACAAATGTTTTCATATCAATGATCGGCTTGAAAGGCAATGCGGTGATGGGTTAAATTGAAGACCTTTTTTCCTGCGAAATACACGCTTCCTGCCCATCTAACAACAAATAACAATAGTTATTGCTGCTATTGTCATTATTGTTGTTGTTGCTGCTGTTACTGTTGTTAACAGATTAACTTGAGGGCATACAATACTTAAGCTACTGTGAGGAATTAAGTTGGAAACTTTTCGAAATAAGGAAAAAGTTTTCATTGCTTTAAGGACTTCATTTAAAAGTGCCTAACAATAAAGTGTATTTCAAGGTGAAGTACTTTAAATTCTCACAATGCTATCTTTTAGTAAGCTTTATGTACAATGTCTAAGTATGTTTAGTATTAGGTTTCATAATTTTCACCACAGGCGGTTCCACTGCGGTGCTCCATAGAGTATAAGGTTTCGCTTTTCTTTGCCAGCGCAGTACAAATACAACAAAATAATTTCGCATTGAAAACAAACTTTTTAACAGGACGACAGGAGTAAATGGTAATAGTGCTATTAGGATATATGCATAATGATTTTAATTGAATTTTTTTAGTAAATACTTAAAAAATATTTAAATACTTTGAAATATTTATAGAAAGTGTTTTATAAAATGGAGTATCTGCGAAATTATTTTAAAAGAACAATTTCATCTCTTATAGATAATAGTTCGACATCACAAATTGTGATGAATTTTCAATATTTCTTAGTTATAGAAGACAGAATTGCACCAGTACAACGAGTTATAGATACAAACATGCCACTAACCACAAGAAAAAAACGAACTAGTGAAAAAGTTAAAAAAATCTACAAAAATTTTAAATAATATCCTCTTTAACTCATCCATGTAAGTGAGTTTTAATAAAACTTTACGAAAAAAGTTGAAGAAAACTTGAGGCTAAGTCAGCGCTTCTGTCAAATATATTGTGATATAATTGAAAATCGAATGTAGACACAGAAACTATTTAAAGCTTCATATAAACTCATAGTTCTCTCATAGGTTGGTACTATAAATCAGTCACACTTTTAAAGAAACAAGAAATAGTTCTCTAACAGAGGTTTAGGTAACTCCCTAACCTTTTCGTAGAACCCTACTATTATGCATAATTATCTGCACCATGATGAAATATTGGTGCCAAGTCCCAGTGAGAACTATAACAGATTGTTAATAATCTCTCATTAAAAGTAAAAAATACAGCAGTACAAGAAAGTACTTATATTCTTTATTGTTCATATTTAAAATAGAAAAAAAATTAGAAAGTATCTAAAAGTGCTTTAGCTGCCGAACTTATTTTAGCATTTCCATCAGTTTGAGATAAGTTTGCAAAGCCACGAATTCTTTCAGTAAGGAACTCATCAGCAATAATCTTTTCACGAATTGATGTTGTTGTTAAATTTCCAAGTGCTTGTATACCATGATAGCAGGCCTCTAAATCAGTACTCCATTCAAAAAAGTCAGAAAGACCCTCAGTAATAAATTTAGACGATTCAGTAGTTGTTAAGTCATTTGTCTGGGTTATGGACAAATTCAAGTAAAAGACCGCAAGTGCAATTTGCAAATTGGAACTGCCATCTCTTATGTCCTTAAGTAGCGGCAGCAAGTTATGTAAACGTTGCCTGATGTGAACCTGTCCATTGTTGTGACGTAGCATATTAGCCAAAGAACGTAGAATCATTAGTTGGTTTGCGTCATTTGTTTTTAAGAGTGGTAACATTTTATCCATTAAGTGATGGTTTTCAAAAATTGTAAAAGCCTCCTCTTCTTGAACCACCAAACGTATTATATCGAGAACAGGAAATATCTTGTCATTTGGCCATTCCAACAAAAGATTTAGCGCCATAACGATATTCTCATCTGCTGCAGTTGGACATTCTGCCATTAAATTAGCCAACTCCAAAACTGTTTGGGATACCTTATATTCATTCGGCATCGTACTATTAAATTCTTCTAGTTTCTTTTTGACTTTATCTGCATCACATTTATGAAATACTATGTATTTGTTAATAGGAAAATGCTTCTCAATATTGGTATCAGACAATGATGCAACAGAACTGTTGATACTACCAAGTAATGAATCAGGCAAATAACGTGTGCTACCAGACAAAGAGCTTTGAAAACTGCTCTCACCAATTGATGGAACGTTACCACTCGAGTTTTTAATCACAAAATTTGCTACCCGATCCAAATATGTCTGTGGTAAGTTATGAAGATTCAAAAAAACTTGCGCAGCAATCCATGGATTCTCTTCACGGTTATAGGGCAACTTTATTTCTGGCAGCGAATCTGAAATGTTAATAGAAAAAACATAGTCGTATTCTTTACCTTCGTAAAGTATTTTGCCAAATGTACTCTCACTTCCACCAGAAGCGCCTATTACATCGCCAACTAGCTTCCATACATCAGCTTGCCAATTGTAACACTTAACTGAACCATCAGAATAACTTACCAGTAAACTCTCACCATCCTTTTTTCCACTTACCAACAAAGCTTCTGGGCCTGGAAGCTCAGAAATGTTGAGAGTTCCAATTGTTTCATTCATTTGCAGTTTCCTGGCGTTAATTGCACTATCGTAAGCTTCAAGTTTAGCTTCACTAGCGAACCGTTTAGGCTCTTTAGTAAAAACTCGTACTACACCGTCACTACAACCAGTTACAATATCGCCATTATTGAAACAAGCAACTGACCAAACTGATCCGCCAGGGTGCAGTATAGGTAAACCTAACTCTATACCTTCTGTTAGATCCCACATACGCAAACAGCTGTCTTCGCCTGAAGACACAATAATATTTGTTCCAACACCAGTATTTTGTGCAATAGAATAAATGTAATCAGTATGACCATTTAGCTTTCCAACGCATTTACCACTTTCGTCCCACAAACGTATAACAGAATCGTTACCAGCAGATACTAGAAAATTGCTTGGCAAGACCTCTAGTCCACGTATGCAATCAGTATGACCAGAAAGTGTACGTATTTTTTCACCCTTATCGTTCCAAATAAAAATTTTTTTATCAGCTGAGCCAGTTACATATTGACTTACTGTGGGCATTGCGTCTACTGCCCATACAGCTGCTGTATGTCCAATTAATTTAAGAAATGTAGCAACTCCTTCTCGATTAATTTTCCACACTCTTGCTGTACCATCCCAACTTCCTGTTATAAGGCTCCGACTCTCTAAGCCACTTGATATAGCACAAACATTACTCTGATGTCCTTTTAGTATTAAAATGGGAACATTACTATCTGTTTTATATATGCAAACCGTGCCATCATTACTGCCACTGCATATCCAATCCTCCTGCTTTGCATAATAAACGCAACTAACAAAGCTGACATGGTGTTCAAATGTAATCATTTCATTAAATTCATTATTCTCACATTTCCATAACTTAGTTGTCTTATCGCGAGAACCAGAGATTATAATTTCTCCATTACAACTTGTTTCACCGACTGCAACGGCACGCACATCCGTGCCATGTCCGAAAAGTTCACAACTTAATTTATAATCATCCAACGATACTGTAGACATTTCGTCAATTTTAATTACGTGAAATTCTAACAAGTATTTACGAAAATAGCTATATTTATTGATTATCTGAAAACGTAAGGAAGTACATTTTTTTTTTCAATAATGTTAAAAAAAAATTAGAAAAAGAAAAATATTATCAATATGTCAAATTAAAAACTAAATGTTTTTTAGAAGTGTCGTTATAAACACAGAGTTGTTATATGTAACCTGATGTATTATACCTAATACAGGTATGTTAACTATGAAGAATTTTGATAAAAAAAATTCGCTATATTGGGATCGTCCGAACACGTATGGACCCTGTAGTCACTACTGCAAATCTTGTACCCTCTTCCACAATAACTCTATACTTATAAATGTAATGTGGGCTTTAGAGTCCTCTGATCTTATCTCTCTCCGATAACGTTTATAGTTTTTTCTCCGCTTTTTTGGTTAGAACCTATCAACACCGTTAATTCAATAGTGAAAAATTTAGAGAAATGTTATACAATAACTGTTTAAAATACTATTATCACGCAGAAAATTTGACTTCTTAGGGAAGGATGCGGGCAAATTGAAATTACAGTACTGTATGTATGTATGTTAATGTTTTTAAAATCTTTGAGATATTAAGACAGATACAGATTATTTCATATTTGGTGTTATTAGCTATAACTAACATCTAACTAGTAAAGCCTGTTATAATTAATTATAACTCTGTTGTAATTTCTTTAATCAACTCTGAACGGCAAGGTGGGTTCTACGATGAGACATGAAATAAAATAATTGGATGAAAGGGCAGTAAGAAATCATTTGACCCGTT